CTGCCTTCACTCAAAATACTGACCTTCACTCATACAATAATACTGACCTTTCCCCAAAATAAACTGACCTTTAAATACAATAATACTGCCTTCACACTACAAAAAACTGACCTTCCACTAAATAATACTGACCTTTACACATACAAATACTGAATTCACCATTCAATAATCTGACCTTCACACACAATAATACGACCTTCCCTCTCAAAATACTGACCTTTACCATACAATAAAACTGCCTTCACCATAAAAATACGACCTCCACATCAATAAACTGACCTCACACATACAATAAAACGACCTTCACACAAAACCAAAAATCTGACCTCACACTACAATAATACTGCCTTCACACAACAAATCGACCTTCCACATCAAATAATACTGCCTTCACCATACAATAATACTACCTCACCATACAATAAAAAGACCTTTTACTATACAATAATACTGACCTCACACATACAATAAAACGACCTTCCACTCAATAAACGACCTTTACCATACAATAATACTGACCTTTACCCAAATAAAACTGACCTTCACACATTCATAATACTGACCTCACCATAAATAATACTGACCTTCACACATACAATAATACTGACCTTTTACCATACAATAATCGACCCTTTACACATACAATAAAACTGACCTTTACACAACATAAACTGACCTTCACCATACAATAATACTGACCTTCACCATACAAAAAATCTGACCCACACAACAATAATACGACCTTCACAATACAAAAAATACTACCCTTTACCATACAAAAATCTGACCCTTTACCATACTAATACTGACCTTTAACTACAAAAATACTTGACCCTTTACCATACAATAATACTGACCTTTACCAAACAAAAAACTGACCTTTACTCATACAATAAAACTGAAAACCCTTACCATACAATAATACGACCTCACACATACATAAAACTGACCTTTACCATACAATAATACTGCCTTCACCATACAATAAAACGACCTTCACAAAATACAATAATACTGCCCCACTCATACAAAATAACTTCACACTACATAATACGACCTACCATACAATAATACTGACCTTTACCCATACAATAAAACTACCTTCAACCCATACAAAAAATACTGACCTTCACTCATTCAAAAAACTACCTTACCAACATAATACGACCTTCACACATACAATAATATGACCTTATCATACAAATAATGACCTTTAAAAATCAAAAACTAAATTCATCAAAAATAACTACCCCCAAATAATAAACTGACCTTCACCATCAATTACTGACCTTCACTAAAAAAATATTTACCTTCACCATCAATAATACTGACTTTATCATAAATAAACTACCTTACTCATACAATAATATGACCTTCACTCATAAATAATACGACTTCACCCAAAAAAAATACGCCTTACTAAAAAATTTTCTGACCTTCACCATAAAAAAACTACCTTACCCAACAAAATACGACCTTAAAAAAAATAAAATAAACTACCTTTATCAAAAAATACACCCCAAAACCCCCCCAAAAAAAAATTTCCTACAAATTCAAATCAAAAACTTTCCCCACTCATCAAAATACTGACCTTCACCTAAAAAAACGACCTTTACCATCAAAATCTACCTTCACCCAAAAATACTGACCTTCACTCAATAATACTGCCCCTCACACATAAAAAACGACCTTATCAAAATACTGACTTTCACTCATACAAAAAATACCCCCCATAAAAAATACTGACCTTCACTCATACAATAAACTGACCTTACCAAAATAATACTGACCCTTCACCATAAAAAATACGACCTTCCCAACAATAATACCCCCACCATCAATAATATACCTTCACAAAAAAATACTCCCCCCATTTTAAAACGCCTTTAAAAAAAACTGCCTTTACCATACAATAATACTACCTTCCCATACAAAATACGACCTTTACACATAAAATACGACCTTCACCATAAAAAAACTGACCTCCCAAAAAAAAAAACTGACCTTCCACTCAATAATACGACCTTCACCATAAATAATACTGACCTTCACTCAACAATAATACTACCTTCACTCATAAAAATACGACCTTCACTCATACAATAAAACTGACCTTCACCAATAAAAACTTTCCTCATCATATATTAAAATGACCTTCCCAAAAAAAATTACTGACCTTCACTCATATAATACTGACCCCCCAAAAATAAAATTACTTTATAAAAACCCCTCAACAAAATATTTCCCCCAATCAAAAACTGACCTTTACCATACAATAATACTGACCTTCCCATACAATAATACTGACCTTCACTCATCAAAAATTTTTAAATCCCAAAAAAATAGACCCTTTCCCCAAAAAAACCCCTTTCCAAAAATTACCACCATAAAAAACCCTTCCCAAAAATATTTGACCTTCACCTTAAAAATACGCCTTCCCAAAAAATGACCTTACTCATAAATAATACTGACCTTAAAACCCTACAAAATACTGACCTTACCATCAATAATACGACCTTAACCCTACAAAAATTCCCCCCCAAAAAAACCCCCCCCCAAACCCCCCAAAAAACCCCCCCACCCCCAAAAAACCCCCCAAAAATTTCCCCCATAAAAAAACCCCCCAACATAAACTCCTTCACCATTCAATAATACTGACCTTTACCCTAAATAATACTGACCTTACCATACAATAATACTGACCTTCACCAACAATAAACGACCTTCACCAAAAAAAATCCCCCCCCCATAATAAACTGACCCTTAACATAAAAAATACTGACCTACCATAAAATAAAATCCTTCATACAATAATACGACCTTCACACATACAATAAAACCCCTTCCCCCAAAAACAAAATACTACCTAAAAAAATACACCCCCCAAAACAATAAACTGACCTCTTTCAAAAAAAAACCCACCAAACCAAAATATTACCTTTAAAAAAAAATTTCCCCAACCCTACAATAATACTGCCCTTTCCACTACAAAATACTGACCTTCACCAAAAATAATACTGACCTTTTACCAAAAATTTTACCCCAACAAAAAAACCTTACCAAATAAAAACCCAACCTAAATACATTCCCATAAAAATAACCCCCCACCAAAAAAAAAACCTTCATAAAATAAATTACCCACCATAAAAAACTCCCATTAAAATAATTGACCTTCACAAAAAATACTCCTTACCATACATAATATTTACCTTCCCTAAATAATACGCCTCACTCTAAAAAATACTGACCTTCACCAACAATAAAACTGACCTCACTCATAAAAAACTAAACCTTCACCATACAATAATACCCTTCACCATAAATAACGACCTTCCCATAAAAATATCACTTAAAAAACAAAAAAAACTAAAAAAAAATTTTTAAAAAATTTAAATTTACCCACATAATAATACGACCTTTATAAAAAAAAACACCTTCACCATCAATAAACTACCTTCACCATAATAATACCCTTTTCCCCCTAAAATATTACCTCAAAAAAATTACCTTACCCAAAATACATTCCTTCAAAAAAATATTACACTAATAAAATACTAAACCCTTTATCATACAATAATCTGACCTTTTCCAAAAAATAACCTTTACTCAAAAAACTACCTTTTCCCAAAAACCCACCAAATTAAAAAAAAAAAACTATTCAAATAAATTTAAAAAAACTGACCTTTACTTCATACATAAACTGACCTTCACCTACTAATACCCTTCACCAAAAATAATCCCTTTAAAAAATTTAAACTGACCTTCACCATAAAAATACGACCTTCACTCATAAAAATACTACCTTTTAAAAAAAAAACCCCCCCATCAATAATACTACCCTTTACCATACAAAAAACCTTTCCCCTCAATAATACCCTTCCCATCAATATACTGACCTTCACCATAAAAAAACCCCACCTTCAATAAAAATTTCCCAAAAATAACTACCCAATTTTAAACCTTATATATAAAATAAACAACCTTAAAAATTTTAAAAAAAATTTTTTACCTATTAAAATTCACCTCAATAAAAAATTCACCAAAAAAAAAGACCCCACCTCTATAAAAATTACCTCCTTTAAAAAATACTGACCTTTAAAAACCCTACAATAATCGACCTTCACCATAAATAGCCCTTTTATACAAAAAAGACCTTTACCATACAAAAACTGACCTTTCACCATAAAAAATACTGACCTTCACCATACAATAATACTGACCTTTCAAAAACAAAAAAACCTTCCCTTTACACAAACAAAATACTGACCTTCATCAAAAATCTGACCTTTTACCATACAATAATACGACTTTTAAAAAAACTTTCAATAATACTGACCTTCCCAACAAAAACTGCCCTTCAACCCTAAATAAACTGACCTTCACCATACAAAATACTGCCTTCCCCTTAAAAAAACTGACCTTACCAAATAACTACCTTCACCATAAATAATACGACCTTACCATATAAATTTAAAAAAAATGACCCTTTACCATACAAAAATTAATTTTTAAATACCCACACCTTACCTAATAAACCCAACCAAAAACATTCCCAAATTAAACTTTTCCCCCTACAATAATACTGACCTTCACACATACAATAATACTGACCTTCACTCATACAATAATACTGACCTTCACACATACAATAATACTGACCTTCACACATACAATAATACTGACCTTCACACATACAATAATACTGACCTTCACACATACAATAATACTGACCTTCACTCATACAATAATACTGACCTTCACACATACAATAATACTGACCTTCACACATACAATAATACTGACCTTCATGTGGTTAATATACATCAGGACTAACTTGGTAATTAGTATTTATTACTGCATTGTGTTAGTTTTTGAGTTTGAAGCCTATCTACTAGACGAATGTTATTAAGGCTTCATGTAACCTGTATACGACTTGTCTTGGTTAGTATAATGTTTTAAACAGTAATTAAAGTATTTTTAAGGAGAGTAATATACTGTAGATTCCTTCAAATATGCTGCTGCCAGAGCATACTCATCAAGATATACTTTCTGGAATATATGTATACATGAAGTATGCTCCTCCTTCAGCGAGACTGTTTACTTCAGGTTCGTGACGTCACCACGAGAGTTGCTGACAGTGTCCAAGGTTGGGAAGGAAGACAGAGCCATGTATCAGTGTGTTGTATCTGGTCACCACTACAACGTCCAGGCAGCAGCACACCTTGCTCTGGGAGGTCAGTATGTGTGTACTCACATAATTGTGGTTGCAGGGGTCGATTCATAACTCCTGTCCCCGCCTCTTCACTGGTCCACTCTCCCAGCTCCATGAGCTCGATCATACCTCTTCTTAAAGCTATGTATGGTTCCTGCGTCCACTACATCACTTTATTGATCATTCCACTTCCTGACAATTCTATGACTGAAGAAGTACTTCCTAACATCTCTGTAATTCATCTGAGTTTTTAACTTCCAGCGCCTTCGTGAAGACAACCAGGGGTCTATTGGTAATCCCCCTTATGTATGCTGGGAGGCAGTTGAACAGTCTTGGGCCCCGAACACTTACTGTTTTCTCTGTCTACTCGTGGCGCCCCTGTTTTTTATCGGGGGAATGTTACATCTCCTGCCGAGTCTTTTGCTGTTATAGGGAGTGACTTTCGTGTGCAAGTTTGGTACTAATCCCTCTAGGATTTTCCAAGTGTATGTTATCATGTATCTCTCTCGCCTGCGTTCCAGGGAATACAAATCAAGAGACTTCAACCGTTCCCAGTAATTTATGTGCCTTATCGTACTTATGTGCCGTGAAAGTGCTTTGTACAGTGGCCGCAAAAAAAATCTATACATTAAAAATTTTTGGACAATAAAACAAAAAAATTGCAATTTACTGTGTGTACATGTATTTTATTTTCACCTTTTAGCTTCCAACTGGTACTTGGTCATGTTGCCCTTGTTCTTTATCACCATCTGAAGTGGCCTGGGCATCGAAGTGGCGAGGGTGGAGAAGGAGGAGGAGTCCGTGTAGATCCAAAGGTTCTTCAGTGCCTCCTTCAGATCCATGATGTTGGTGGGTCCAGCTTTTGCAGTCGCATTTTTCATCACATGCCAGACATTCTCGATAAGATTTAGGTCAGGGGAAATTTCCTGGCCACTCCACAACACTGATATTATTGTCCTCGAGGAACTTTTTCACTCATTTTGACATATGGGCAGAGGCACTATCATGCATAAAAAAATCACTCGTGAATGATCCAAAATGTCGGTATGTGATCCCTTAACACCTCGATATAATTACTTCCCTTCATCGTAATGTTCTTAGGAAGGAAGTATAATCCAGCCCTGCCATTATAACTACTAAAAGCACCCCAGACCATAACACTGTCAGGATGCTTCACTGTCTTCACAACATACCGCAGGTCATAACACTGTCAGGATGCTTCACTGTCTTCACAACATACCGCAGGTCATAACACTGTCAGAGTGTTTCACTGTCTTCACAACATACCGCAGGTCATAACACTGTCAGGATGTTTCACTGTCTTCACAACATACCGCAGGTCATAACACTGTCAGAGTGTTTCACTGTCTTCACAACATACCGCAGGTCATAACACTGTCAGGATGTTTCACTGTCTTCACAACATACCGCAGGTCATAACACTGTCAGGATGCTTCACTGTCTTCACAACATACCGCAGGTCATAACACTGTCAGGATGCTTTACTGTCTTCACAACATACCGCAGGTCATAACGGGACACACCACTGGGATGATGGACGGTCTTGGAGCCGCTCCTGACGTGCCTGAAGATACTCTCAACGCTGATCACCTGCCACTGGTCTGAGGTCCAATCATTGTACTTCTTGTAGAACTGAAGCCATTTCTTCTTCATAGCTTCAGTTAGCATGGGCGTCTTGGCGGCATGTCGAGCAGGCATTTTTAGATCCTTTTGCAATCGGTGCGACATCTTTCAGGAGTGCAAGATGCATTTTCTTGAGTTCTGTGGCTGTTACGGCAGGATCTGATAACACTTCTCTCCTCATGATGTTGTCTTTGTGAAGAGAAAATGCGTCCTGCACTCCTTAAAAATGTCGAAGTGTGAACCATTCAGCACCGACTGCAAAAGGATCTAAAAATGCCTGCTCGACATGCCGCTAAGACGCCCATGCTAACTGAAGCTATGAAGATGAAATGGCTTCAGTTCTACAAGAAGTACAATGATTGGACCTCAGACAAGTGGCAGAAGGTGATGTTCAGCGTTGAGAGTATTTTCAGGCACGTCAGGAGCGGCTCCAAGACCGTCCATCATCCCAGTGGTGTGTCCCGTTATGACCTGCGGTATGTTGTGAAGACAGTGAAACACTCTGACAGTGTTATGACCTGCGGTATGTTGTGAAGACAGTGAAGCATCCTGACAGTGTTATGACCTGCGGTATGTTGTGAAGACAGTGAAACACCCTGACAGTGTTATGACCTGCGGTATGTTGTGAAGACGAGGAATTGGGAGGCCGGAAATCACCTCAGAAATACGTGTTGAGTCACACAACTGCCTGGTTCACCTCGTGAGATCCGTGCTTGCGGTGATCGTGGTGTACGACTGTATTCATCGCGCAAGCTTCGTGTGGGGGAAGTCACCCGTCTCACTACCCAATCGTGACTAAGGGCTCGGCTCAGCCTACGCCAGTCGGCACTCAAAACTGGTGGTCTGTAGGTGCCTAAAGTGTTAATGGGACGTGTAACTACTGCCTTAAGCTAAGCAACTATCTCTAGCTTAACTTAAATATGTGTAGTAGTAATGTAGTAATGGCAGTGTATAATTAGCCAAGGAGTTACGAGGCTAATCATTAGTAATTAAGTATATACAGAAATGACACCCTTCTAGGTGTCTCCCCCCTTTTCCTACATTCCCCCACCTGGGGGGTGGGCATAAAGGTTCTGAGAAATTACTAAATTCCCCACACAACTATTTGTGCCACACACTACCAGTGTCTGTCACACACACGCTATCACTATCTGTGCCACACACACAAAGTACCACCATCTGTGCCACACACACAAAGTACCACCATCTGTGCCACACACACAAAGTACCACCATCTGTGCCACACACACAAAGTACCACCATCTGTGCCACACACACAAAGTACCACCATCTGTGCCACACACACAAAGTACCACCATCTGTGCCACACACACAAAGTACCACCATCTGTGCCACACACACAAAGTACCACCATCTGTGCCACACACACAAAGTACCACCATCTGTGCCACACACACAAAGTACCACCATCTGTGCCAAACAAAGTACCACCATCTGTGCCACACACACAAAGTACCACTATCTATGCCACTCACGCGAAGTACCACCATCTGTGCCACGCACACAAAGTACCACTATCTGTGCCACTCGCACAAAGTACCACCATCTGTGCCACGCACAGAGTACCACTATCTGTGCCACTCGCACAAAGTACCACCATCTGTGCCACACACACAAAGTACCACCATCTGTGCCACACACACAAAGTACCACTATCTGTGCCACTCACACAAAGTACCACTATCTGTGCCACACACACAAAGTACCACCATCTGTGCCACACACACAAAGTACCACCATCTGTGCCACACACACAAAGTACCACCATCTGTGCCACACACACAAAGTACCACTATCTGTGCCACTCACACAAAGTACCACCATCTGTGCCACACACACAAAGTACCACCATCTGTGCCACACAAAGTACCACCATCTGTGCCACACACACAAAGTACCACTATCTATGCCACTCACGCGAAGTACCACCATCTGTGCCACGCACACAAAGTACCACTATCTGTGCCACTCGCACAAAGTACCACCATCTGTGCCACACACACAAAGTACCACTATCTGTGCCACTCACACAAAGTACCACTATCTGTGCCACACACACAAAGTACCACCATCTGTGCCACACACACAAAGTACCACCATCTGTGCCACACACACAAAGTACCACCATCTGTGCCACACACACAAAGTACCACTATCTGTGCCACTCACACAAAGTACCACCATCTGTGTCACACACACAAAGTACCACCATCTGTGCCACACAAAGTACCACTATCTGTGCCACTCACACAAAGTACCACCATCTGTGCCACACACAAAGTACCACTATCTGTGCCACTCACACAAAGTACCACTATCTGTGCCACACACACAAAGTACCACTATCTGTGCCACTCACACAAAGTACCACCATCTGTGCCACTCACTCGAAGTACCACTATCTGTGCCACTCACACAAAGTACCACCATCTGTGCCACACACACAAAGTACCACTATCTGTGCCACTCACACAAAGTACCACTATCTGTGCCACTCTCACAAAGTACCACCACCTGTGCCACACACACAAAGTCCCACTATCTGTGCCACTCACACAAAGTACCACTATCTGTGCCACACACACAAAGTACCACTATCTGTGCCACTCACACAAAGTACCACTATCTGTGCCACTCACACAAAGTACCACCATCTGTGCCACACAAATAAACGCAATCTGTGTCACACTCCATTACCTTTTGTTTCATCCTACTACACAGACAGACACACTAACTAACTAAGAGTATGTGTGTTTGACAGATTCGTCACCAGAGCTGCACTACAAGTTCCAAGAACAGACACTACAGCCTGGTCCGTCAGTGAGTCTCAAGTGTGTGGCTACTGGCAACCCTCCACCACAGTTTCTGTGGTCACTTGACGGCTTCCCACTACCAGAGAGTGAGAGGTGAGCAAGCCAGGGAGACAAGCAAGTGAGGCAAGTAAAGGAAAGAGGTCCACGAGAAGCAATTTTAAAGGGGGGGGGGAAGCTGCACATTAAAAAAAATCTAGTGAGTAATGTGTCTAGTTTAAAGTAGTGTGTAAGCATTATTATTCTGCCTGAAATGTCCCACATGTTAGTAGTGTGTGTCTTTTGTAATTAACAATATTTTATTATATGTAGACTACATTTTTTTACAACACAGAAAGGAGATAAAGTTGAATTGATTGAAGGAGAGTGAGAAGTGATGAGAGACAATACACAGAGCAAGATACTCAACACACTGACACCCGCACAGAGCAAGATACTCAACACACTGACACCCGCACAGAGCAAGATACTCAACACACTGACACCCGCACAGAGCAAGATACTCAACACACTGACACCCGCACAGAGCAAGATACTCAACACACTGACACCCGCACAGAGCAAGATACTCAACACACTGACACCCGCACAGAGCAGATACTCAACACACTGACACCCGCACAGAGCAAGATACTCAACACACTGACAACCCGCACAGAGCAAGATACTCAACACACTGACACCCGCACAGAGCAAGATACTCAACACACTGACACCCGCACAGAGCAAGATACTCAACACACTGACACCCGCACAGAACTGTTGACTGTTATCTCAGCGCTCGACCAACTGTTATTATGAAATTTCTTTTAAATTTACATTAAGTCGAACATAATTTAGCTTATAACTGTCAGAATTATTTCTTTTCAAACTGAATAGAACCTCACACATGTTCATATTAAACTGTTACTACTGTCTTCCAGCACAACACTGACCATCCTGGTCTTCCAGCACAACACTGACCATCCTGGTCGTCCAGCACAACACTGGCCATCCTGGTCGTCCAGCACAACACTGGCCATCCTGGTCTTCCAGCACAACACTGACCATCCTGGTCTTCCAGCACAACACTGACCATCCTGGTCGTCCAGCACAACACTGACCATCCTGGTCGTCCAGCACAACACTGACCATCCTGGTCGTCCAGCACAACACTGACCATCCTGGTCGTCCAGCACAAACACTGACCATCCTGGTCTCCAGCACAACACTGACCATCCTGGTCTTCCAGCACAACACTGACCATCCTGGTCGTCCAGCACAACACTGACCATCCTGGTCGTCCAGCACAACACTGACCATCCTGGTCGTCCAGCACCAAAAATTATTTGATATCCCATTTTAGTGTTGTTTTCGGACATCCTTTGTCGATATTACCTGATGATCCTCACAGTTATCCTCACCTCATGATCCTCACAGTTATCCTCACCTCATGATCCTCACAGTTATCCTCACCTCATGATCCTCACAGTTATCCTCACCTCATGATCCTCACAGGTATCCTCACCTCATGATCCTAACAGCTATCCTCACCTCATGATCCTCACAGGTATCCTCACCTCATGATCCTAACAGCTATCCTCACCTCATGATCCTCACAGCTATCCTCACCTCATGATCCTAACAGCTATCCTCACCTCATGATCCTCACAGGTATCCTCACCTCATGATCCTAACAGCTATCCTCACCTCATGATCCTCACAGCTATCCTCACCTCATGATCCTAACAGCTATCCTCACCTCATGATCCTCACAGTTATCCTCACCTCATGATCCTCACAGTTATCCTCACCTCATGATCCTCACAGCTATCCTCACCTCATGATCCTCACAGGTATCCTCACAGTTATCCTCACCTCATGATCCTCACAGCTATCCTCACCTCATGATCCTCACAGCTATCCTCACTTCATCATCCTCCCAGCTATCCTCACCTCATCATTCTGTCACCTACTTCTCATGGACGTACAGGTTCCTGGTGGGTCAGTACGTGACGGTGCACGACGACGTTATCTCTCACGTGAACATCACTCACGTGCGGGTGGAGGACGGCGGTGAGTACACGTGTCGTGCCTCCAACACGGTGGGTGGGGTCAGCCACTCAGCCAAGGTCAACGTGTACGGCATGCCCTTCATCCGCCAGATGAGGCGGGTATCTGCCGTGGCAGGCTCAGGACTCAGGATCAAATGCCCAGTGGGAGGATACCCCATCGACAAGATCATCTGGGAGAAGGGTAAGTACCCATTACTTGTTGGTGGTGACACCCATTATCTGGTGCCATTTATTGCATTGGTGACAGTGACGCCCATGATGGGTGGAGTCACTGCTGTCAGCTTGCACATGTGACTTCAGGCACAGTCATACAAGCCTGTGGCAACACCTGTCTCACACCTGTATCAGCACCTGTGGCAAGACCTGTGTCAGCACCTGTGGCAACACTTGTGTTAGCACCTGTGTCAGCACCTGTCAACACCTGTATCGGCGCCTGTGTCAACAGCTATGTCAGTACCTGTATCAACAGTCCCTCCTCAGGCCATATTTTATGTACTCTAAGCATGTCCTGAATGACGTTAGTACTTAAAATACTTACATGAGCTTTTTACTGTCATATATATATATATATATAATATATATATATATATATATATATATATATATATATATATATATATATATATATATATATATATATATAAGCAATAAGATAACAGTAAACAGGTGATTTCAGAATATGCAAAACAACCACTGTGGAAGAATAGAGAAATTCCAAGTGCTTTCGTGACTACTCACATTATCAAAGAACTATAAAAGTAAAGCATCCAAGGAAGGTATATAAGGGGTCTGGCCAACACCTCACTATCAGATCCCACAACAGTTAAACACCTAACGCGCGCCGGCCCAACTGGACAGGTCCTTCGCACAACCCACCAACAAACTATTCTACCCAAGAAATAAGAAATTTTAAAAATTATTATTTGTCCAGTGTATTATTAAATTCTTCCCAAATTCTATTAATTATAAATGGATCTAATTTATATAAACCGAAGGAAATATTCATATTATTGTCAAAACTGCTTTTTATGAAACAAGATTCAATTATATTCCTGTCGACCATGGACTTGCTTGATACTACTTTCTTAACTTTTTGAAAATCAATTGGATGGTTAAAATCTCTTACATGAATAAATAGAGCATTGGAATCTTGTCCAATTGGGAAGAATTTAATAATACACTGGACAAATAATAATTTTTAAAATTTCTTATTTCTTGGGTAGAATAGTTTGTTGGTGGGTTGTGCGATCGACCTGTCCAGTTGGGCCGGTGCGCGTTAGGTGTTTAACTGTTGTGGGATCCGATAGTGAGGTGTTAGCCAGACCCCTTATATACCTTCCTTGGATGCTTTACTTTCATAGTTCCTTGATAATGTGAGTAGTCACGAAAGCGCTTGGAATTTCTCTATTCTTTCAGAGTGGTTGTTTTACATAATATATATAATATATATATTATATATATATATATTTATATATATATATATATATATATATATATATATATATATATAATATATATATATATATAATGTATATGTGCAGAATAACCACTGTGAAAAAATAGTGAAATTTCAAGCGCTTTCGTGATTTTTCACATTATCAAGGAAGTATAAAAATAAAAGGTTAACAGGAACGCATATAAGGAGCAGACTACACCTCACTGCCAGTTCACAACAACACCTGACTTTTATGATGATGTAGGTAGGTAGTCAGTCATCCCTGAAACACACCTTATATTCTACCCAAAAATTTGTCTAATGTACCTTAAATTTTTCCCAAATTTTCTTATAAATGAATCCAATTTATATAGACCAAAAGAAATATTCACATGTCAAAACTACTTTTTATGAAACATTTTATTATATTCCTGTCGACCATGAACTGGATATATATACATATATATATATATATATATATATATATATATATATATATATATATATATATATATTATTATATATGTATATATTATATATATATATATATATATATATATATATATATATATTATATATATATATATATATATATATATATATATATATAGCGGTCATACCGCTAAGCTCTTGGGAGTTAGCACATAGATGAGTTTGAGAGCGAGTGTGAGAAGGATTTAGCTGGTAAGGAAGGAATGGTCACCAGCAGTGAGAGTTGCAGCCGCTTTAAGTGGCAAGTGGTTCACAGTTCAGGAAGAAGGAAGATGAGGAGAGTTAATAGAGAAAATGTGAAGGTAGGAAATCGATTCTCCAAGACGAGTGTACTTCAGTGGTTAGTGAGGTTGAAGGTACCACTGATTCCCCTGCTAATCAAGGTAAGAATATTTTAATAGTAGGCGATTCTCAGGTAAGATATATGGACTGTGCATTTTGTAACAGAGAAAGAAAGGTCGGACAGAGAGTGTCTTCCTGGAGCTGGTGTTGGCGACATAGTCAGCAGGTTGGATAATATTATGGCAGGTAATGGGATCAAGCCCATTATCTGTCTTAGTGCTGGGGTAATGACATTGGGAAGGGCAGGAGAGAGGAGCTGCTGGGTAAGTACAGGTCAGCCATAGAAGTAAAGTCTAAGGGAGGGATCCCAGTCATATGTAGCATCTTGCCTAAAAAGGGAGTGGGCAATGAATGGATGTCTAGGGCAATTGGTATAAATCGCTGGCTAGACAGGTACTGCAAGGAACTTGCAATCCCATTCATTGATAACTGGGACCTTTTCTTTGGTAAACGTGATATGTATGCAAGGGATGGGGTTCATCTCTCTGGGGATGGAGTGGTTGCAGTAGCCAGTTCAATTGAGAGGGTAATTGATGACTTGTCCAAGAATTTAAACTGATAGATTATAGAGGTATGGGTGTTTGTGGGAAACAATCAGGCTGCAGAATTAGGGTTAAAAACAGCAGTTATTACCGGGATACCTTAGGGATATGTTTAAAAGACAATATTCAAAATAAAGTTGCTAGTAATGGCAAATCAACTGATCAACAAACAAAGAGAGATAGTAGAGGGCAACGAGTGACTAGCTCCCTTAAGGTTTACTATACAAATAGTAGGAGTCTAAGAAATAAGATAGATGAGCTAAAATTACTTGCAAGTGTAGGTAATATAGATATTATTGATATAACAGAGACATGGTTCAACCTGCAAGATAGAGAAATGCCTTCTGAATGCAACATACAGGATTATAAACTATTCCACACTGATAGGGTCAACAGGAAGGGTGGTGGTGTGGCGATGTATGTCAGAGAAAATTTAAATTGTTGTCTTAGACATGATATAAGATTAGAAACATCGAACACAGAATTGGTTTGGCTTCAGTTTCTCGAGGGTCGTGACAAATTAATTTTGGGTGTGATTTATAGGCCCCCAAACCTTGATAGGGAGTGCAGTAAGCTGTTATGGGACGAAATTCATAAGGCATCTAGATATGAAAGTGTTGTGATAATGGGAGATTTTAACTTTAGACAAATTGATTGGAACAATATGACAGGAAGTCTTGAGTCTAGTGACTTTCTTGATACGGTTCAGGATTGCTTTTTAGAACAGGTTGTGACAGAACCAACTAGAGGAAACAATCTGCTTGACTTGGTTCTTGCCAACAAAGATTCACTAATTAATAATCTTGAGGTTAATGATGAGCTTTGGGAAAGTAATCACAAATCACTTAGTTTCAATATATCGTGGAATTACCCAGATAACAGCAATCAAATCTCTGTCCCAGATTTTCGCTTGGCCGACTTCATGGGACTGAAAAATTACCTGGGTGGGCTAAATTGGGATGTCCTAACTATGGGTCAGGTAGGTGATCTTGGTTGCGAATATGACGTTTTTCAGAGCATAGTTCTAGCTGCCCAGACAACTTTTGTTCCGAGTAGGGAAATTAGATCTAACAAAAATGATCCCAAATGGATGAACAATAGATTAAAACATCTCATTGGTCAAAAGAGAGGCATATATAGGCGTATCAAAAGAGGGGATGGGCAGTTAAGAAATCAATATGTTCAATTAAAGAGAGAAATAAAAAAAGGAATAAGAAAAGCAAAAAGAGATTATGAGGCTAAGGTCGCAAGGGATTCAAAGACTAACCCAAAAGGGTTCTTTCAGGTATACAGAAGTAAGATTAGGGACAAGATTGGCCCACTTAAGAGTAACTCTGGTCAGATCACTCACAGTGATAAGGATATGTGTGAAATTCTAAATACCTTCTTCCTCTCAATTTTCACCCAGGAAAATACTAGCGATATTCCTGAAATAATAGATTACGTAGAACAGGATAATAAACTATGTACGATTGTGGTAACTAGTGACATGGTCCTCAGACAAATAGAGAAACTAAAACCTAACAAATCCCCAGGCCCTGATGAACTGTTTGCAAGGGTGTTAAAGGAATGTAAAGAGGAACTTAGCATACCTTTGGCTAATCTTTTTAACATATCACTACAAACTGGCATAGTGCCTGATAAGTGGAAAATGGCAAATGTAATACCTATTTACAAGGCAGGTGACAGGTCCTTGGCTTCAAACTATAGACCAATAAGCCTTACCTCCATAGTGGGAAAATTTATGGAATCAATAATTGCCGAAGCAATTCGTAGCCATCTTGACAGGCACAGATTGATTAATGATTCTCAACACGGTTTTACAAATGAGCGTTCCTGTCTTACGAATTTACTAACTTTTTTCACTAAGGTGTTTGAGGAGGTAGATCATGGAAATGAATATGATATTGTGTATATGGACTTCAGTAAGGCTTTCGATAGAGTTCCACACCAGAGGCTATTGAGGAAACTTAAGGCACACGGAATAGGAGGAGAAATTTCATCCTGGGTAGAGGCATGACTGACAAATAGACAGCAGAGTTTGCATAAATGGGGAGAAATCAGAATGGGGGCACGTCACAAGCGGTGTTCCTCTGGGGTCAGTGTTGGGCCCGATGTTGTTCACAATTTACATAAACGACATAGATGAGGAAATAAATAGCGACATAAGCAAATTTGCTGATGACACCAAAATAGGCCGTCCAATTCATTCTAATGAGGACACTAGAGCACTCCAGGATGAATTGAATAGACTGACGCAATGGTCGGAGAAGTGGCAGATGCAGTTTAATATTGACAAATGCAAAGTTCTAAATGTTGGACAGTTAAATAACCATGCCACATATAAACTAAATAATGTAGATCTTAATA